CGCGTTTAATCGCTAAGAACATCGAAGAACGAAGCGGGATGTATTATACGATTATTCATGACCTCATTTCTGATGATTCGATTGTGATCTTGTAACATTATAACGCAGTGAGTGACGACGTTAATTGTGAAAGGGAAGTGACCGTCAGTTTGCTCTCAATGGATGTTGTGGCACGTCTACCGTAATGGCGGCTGCATGAAGACGATAAACATCCCAGTGTCACCCACAGGGTACGGGTAATTTACATGTTTGTCGTGTCTCGAAATATGAATTGTAAATAGTGTATCGTGCCAAATATATGGTGAGTTACTGAATAAATACAGCAGTTTCAAGAAAGTGGTAATTGTATTTATAATGTTAAGAGTATTTTACAACATGGACCAGGTTTATATTGTATCTTATGAGTGATGTCGGGATCGAGTTATCGCCCTTGATGAATGGTTTGTTTATTATAGGGTTAAGATAATGATTTTGTATATCATTGATTATTAAGTTTATGTTCATGTACAGAATATAGACGTATGTTTATATGAACTGAATGATTGTATGAATATGTATGTGTATGAAACCTATGCAGTATTGTTTTTTATAATGTTATTGTTTTGTACATTAAAGGATGTCATTATCTACTCTGGCAATAAACACTCACACCCGTAGCCTATGTTTGAAATTGTATTTTCCTTCACAATCCCCGGTTACAATATGACAATCGGTTTTGGGAGAAAAGGTACGTGTAATCGACCTGAGGATTGTGTGAGCATATGCGGGAAATACCCGCCTTAAATAGGGGTAAATATTTTTAAACCTTGTACATTTTATCAACATCCTTAAAGAGGCTGTACATAATGTTGATATCTCATATAATCATTAAACGACTCGTGGTTGTTGTTTATTGTACAATAAAACACTAGCCCCTCATGGTTTATTCTCCCTGCAGTGTTTTATTGTACTCCCACTCGTCGTTTATTTCTTTAACAGTGGCCCGCTCATTTATGATAACATGCGGGCGGTTTAATGATAGTTTTATCCATTTTAACTATAAAATAATGTAAAGCGGGATGTTTTGTAGTCAGGTTGGAGCGGATGAAAATATGATAATTAATTTTGTATTTCAAACTGGTCTATGAGAATTTTGCCTTTCATGAATATGCTAGCCGTGTATAACATTGCCTCATTGAGAAACTCACTGGCCTGTGATTATTTCTGTAACTGTAGTACTGCTGGTGTGGCTTAAAGCAATATTACTCACTCACTCACTGACGGTAATAGTTTTGTTTCCAGCTTTCGGACACATTTATGTTTTCACCATCATTGGACATTCATAGACACAATTTCTTTTGTTAAATTATATTGAGCATGTTGAGGGTTTTATCATAAAGAACATAGGAAACTGTAACAACGGGAGATGACTCAGACTTTGTGTATGTAAATTACATAGCATTTTCAAGCTCAAGTCATAAGTTTGCTAAATGCTACTTGGAGAATGAAGAGCATGAAAGAAGCATGACCAAAGGACTACTAACGTGCGCATGGGCCTTGACCTTGTGATATTACGCATGCGCACGGACAGCGTCTAAAACGCGAGAACACGAGAACGCGAGATCGCGAGAAAATGAAATGTCGCATTCTCGCGTTCTCGCGATTTCGTGTTTTTGTGGCCTAATTTGACAAGTCGAGATTGCGAGATTGCGAGATTTTGCATCATGTCCAAATGTCGCATTCTCGCGTTGTCGACTTATGACAAAAAGTGCTATGTACCAAAAACACGCGAATGCGAGATCGCGAGAACGCGAGATTTTGGCCAAATCTCGCGTTCTCGCGATCTCGCATTCTCGTGTTTTGGGCATATTTACCTCGTTTCCAAAGGTCGAGATCGCGAGAATGCGAGATCGCGAGAATGTCCCTTACAGTATTCCATAACTTACAGACTGAACATTCAAACAAATGAAATGTAACACCGACATGTCGCTGCTTTGTGAATATTATTGCACTCATCTTTGTTGCTCTAACCACAGTATTGTATTGTAGACTCGTATTGAAGTTGCACTGCCATTCAATGTTTTACCGCTACTCTATTGTGGACTGCCATTGTGATTACTTTGATGTAATTTGTATTTACTTGTAATTATAGTTAATTTTATAATGCAAGTGTTAAGTGTTGGTATCATACTGAATTCGTTTATGCATGGATTTCCGGGTTATCTTATCTTAATGTTTCAAATAGGAAGTAGACACGTAAGAGTATTGCCATGTATACAATTATAGACTGCAATCACTGTGCATTTCCCATAAATAGCTATTGCATGGCGAGGACAAACTAGCTCCGTATTATATTTAGAAAATCGATAAGAACACAAATAGATGATCGATTTTCAGATGGCAGTTCTAATTTAATAATCCTGAGGTAACTCAATAGTGACATTTTTCTTACAATCCTGCATTTAAAGGGTTGACGTATGTTGTCAGGGGACAGCTTTCTGAGCTAATAATACTACAACGTGAATTATTACCGACGTGGTACTGCGCAAAAATGTATCATGTAAAGCAATTTGTTATAAATCAGGTGTTTCGTGAAACTTGCATAGAATGTGATTGGCTGATAGATAATATTATTGGAAATCAAATCAGCCAATGTATTATAAAGAACATATATAATTCATATTGGATTTCATATTCTAGATATATGTAAATATAATTTCATGAAGAACTGTCTCATCTCTGATCAATGTCCAAACGAACATCCATTTATATATATTGAATACTGATATATACTGATAGCCCTCGTTGTTTTCCTTGAAAAACGGAAATATATATACAATGAAGGTAAATTACTAATGCTTATGTGTCCACCCCTAGCAGCCACACATGCAACACAACGACGCCTCATGGATGTCACTAATGTCTGTAGTGTGTTCTGTGGGATAGCATGCCACTCCAAACTCAGCCATTGAGCAAGCTGGCGCAGATCTTGAGGTGGAGGGTGGTTCTCCCTAACACGTCTCGTTAACAGATCACATACGTGTTCAATGGGTGCCATATCAGGAGAATATGCTGGCCATTCCATGCGAGTAACATTGTTTCGTCCCAGAAAGTCAGTGAAAATGCGTGCACGATGAGGTTTAGCATTGTCGTCCTGGAAAACCGCCTGTGGGCCTTTTCGATGGAGACAAGGAATCATCAGAATATCATCCCTGTAGCTAACAGCATTCACATTCCCGTTGATGACGTACAGATTGGTTCTGTGATGAAATGAGAAGGCGGCCCACACCATGACACTACCACCACCAAGACGTTGACGTCAGCAAAACGTTCCCCACGCCGTCTGTAGACAAGAAAACGACAGTCATTATGCTGCAGTGAGAACCGAGATTCTTCAGAAAAAAGAACTGCTGACCACTGTCGTCTTGTCCACTGTCGGTTTTGCCGTGCCCATGCGTCTCTGGCTGCTCCGTGCGGTCTGACGGCTTGACGTCGGGGCCTGATGTTTCTGTCCCTCATACGGCTTTTTATGGTTTGGTCACTGACAGTTTGGTCCTGTAGCAGCCCTCAGTTGCCTTCGAAGATGGTTTGCTGTGACTGTTCTCCTCCTCAATGCTTCAACAATGACGTATCGGTCTTCTCTTTCTGTTGTCACACGAGGGCGTCCTGACCTTGGTCTATCACGTACTGCCTGTGTTTGTTCGTAATCAGCAAATGACGGATGGACTAACATTTAACCTTCGAGCAGCTTCCCGCTGTGAAACATTCTCATTAACCTCGTTCTTCAATCGTGAGGTGTCAACGTTGTGGCATGTTAAACTCAGTGATGCAGTTTCATAGCGACCTGCCTTTATCAACCCAAATTTCGCACAAAAATTCCTTGTGGCTCGTGCTTCATGAGAATAAGTGAGCAACTGCACGATCTCAATTTTTACGGCAGCTGTGAGGAGGAGATTAAAACAAAATATCCATGAAAATGAGTGCTGGTCAAAATGAACGTTGACGAGTCCAGTATGATTCAAATTCTTTGTTCTGGTCAGGAAGTCACTTGAGTAAGGGTAGTTTTCAATATCAGTATGAGGCCGCCGATCAGGAGGCCCTTTACCAAATTCGAAAGGAATTGAATGAACAGCGCTGCAAAATATCAGTGTTCCCTAAATTGTTTTGACGAGCATATTATGTACATACTGATTTATCCACATGCAACTACAGCATCACTGCAAGCACCCACTTATGTGTTTTGTCCCTGCTGCTTTATTAAATGACAATGGCAGCATCGAAGTAATCACGAAACACTCACGAATGTAATCACTTTTGTAACTGTTCATTTTGTTGTAATTTCCTAACGTTTTGGAATGCATTTTTACCTTCCTGCAGTATCTATTGGGCAAGCGTGTAACCGGGGTCGTGAGGACAATTGGCCAAGGGTGTGAGTCTTATTGCATTTCTTCTTTGTTTTCTTTTCTATTTTTCATTCAAGCCAGGGTACATAGCATTGTGTTCAGTGCCATTATATCATGAGAGACATAAAATTACATGGTAAATATCATGAGGAAAATGTACAGGATGTGATAAGAAAGAAAGTTCATCTTTGATACATTGTAATAGTTGTAAGAGATATCGATTAAGTAAGCTATTCCGCCTGCGTTATGGTTTTCCCCAATAAACTCAATTTTTGAGTGAAAGAAATTATTTTTCCGGGGCTTTTTTTACAAGGAACAACACGACATCATAAATGTCTTTCAGTATATTTCTATGTGATTTTAAACATGGTTTTATTCCTTTAACAAGTTTTACGTAATTGTGTCTTTTTGCTTATATCTATAAGTGATTTAATAAGAAGTTGTTGTACCTCCAAAAGAGATATCCGGTTTTGTAATAACAACATGACCGACAAAAACATTTATGAAAGCCTTAACTTCGTCCCAGAGAGAGAGCGAGAGAGAGAGAGAGAGAAAGAGAAACAGACAGACAGACACTGACATAACTCTCACGAATGAATGAATGAATGAATGAATGAATGATTCAATTTGGGTGCGTCCATGTGCAAAAATGATTCCGGGATAACAGTGACATTTACTCTGACTTGTTTGGAAATTACTATTGTCGCACAATAAATACTGAACAATTTCAAACTGGTTGACGGCATGATAAGTCAATGCAGATGCAGGAATTGGTAAATCACCCTGCACGCGAACGACTGCCGCCAGACGCCTCCTCATCCCTCATGCACGTGACGCTAGGGGCTTAATGCTAATTTCACATTCAAAGCATGATTGTCAAAATGGGGGATGTGTGATTTGTAGGTCCGTAAGGAGCCGCGTGTGTAAACCGTCCTGGTGTTTCAGTGGGATTCTTACTATACCAATTATATGATAATTAAAATGAAATAGAAATTCAAATTTATAAACAAAGAAAACAATTTAGCAGGGGTAAGAGTATTCGGCGTCACGGTAGTCATCACTTGTTTGTATACAGTCGGTTGCGAGTTTAACCCTAAGCATGGCTGTTATTACCTATCACAGAGGTTTGCCTGATGGCAGCGATAATAGGGGGTATAAGTAGGTCACGGGACTACGCGAGACCTAACGTTATTTAGTACTTCCGGTGACAAACAACGTCCGGCTGCAATGGCGACAGCAGTGTCACGTCGGACAGGGCCCGGCGAATCATATATCGAACACGCAGGTGTAACTAAGAAAAACATGACACTGTCACAGACATTAAAACACTCGAGATGGGGAAAAGGAATAGCAAGTGTTGGCTTGTCAAAGCAGTTGCAGTGTTGTCAAGACGTCCCATGGTCGATGTCAAACTGGCCGCTACCCATTCATAAATATTGAGGTAAGTTTTCACTTTTTGCACACTTCTGATAAGTTGGTATAATTGTCATTGTGTTGATAAGTCAATACTGATCGGTTCATCATCACCCGTACAGTGGTGATGGCGTTGAAAAACGAACATATAACATTCGTTCTGAAGGTATTTGCAATATGCTCTCGGTTTATGCACCATACAATGTTATGGCAAATTTCCATTACATCTATCCTGAGCCTTTTCCAATAATAAATGTTCAGCTCTGATAGGGAACGTCACAGAATTATATTTGTAGGTCCAGGGGAGATGACACAAACTATAGTCATATTTAAAGAAGGCCTATCATGTGCATATTGGCAACGCAAATTTTGTCAATACTTAATGTTGTGCAAGGAGACTTATGGGGGTGCCTGCGTTAATAAATAAGGATATGTGCCAACATCATGATGATAATGTTATGTGCACTGAAAAATCAGGTTTGATTCACACAAAAAAGTATTAATCTAATTTGTAAATAATGATGATTAAATCCTTGCGGTGTTTGTTTTTAAGATCTCTGAAACGTGACCTCACTAAAATGTATTCTGTATGATGTGAATAGACTTGATCATTACAACCCCATTTAGCATTTGTTTATCATATTCAGTTGAAGGTACAATGTACATGCTTAATTTATTAATTATATCTTGATGTAGGCATTGTAAGAAATGGTTGGTATTTTAGAAGTATACATTATATGATCTCATAAGTGTTATTTATCTTTTGCAGTTGGACCATATTTCCATGTTTGAGGGGAGAAAGAGTAGATGCATATGGATCACCAGAATTACCTTGATGCCAAGCATAACTGCACCTCAAGAGCATCTCGGACTATAGCATATCTTCAGATTTCTTGGAATAATTTGTGGTCAAGCATTACATTGCCTATGAAAGAACAACTCTTGTTATGTATACAGGTGTAAACATATTAAAGTTCTATCTGAACATTTTGCTGAAGTACTGGTTCTGTAAATGATGTCTGTTACCATCAGAATACACCATATACACTGGACACTTGCTGGAACAGGACCTACTTGTCATCAACATGGTGTTGCAGAACATCTTGGGACTCTCTCATAACGTTCAGTGTGAATCTAGATACTGACACCAGTAACAGTGCATGCTGGCACATTTATTTGTTCAGGCTTGGCATTTGGGAATATTTGCCATGAATGTTTAATACTCATGACCTTGGAATAAAATTACTGAATAGATCTGAAGCTTATATTTTTTGGGTGTCTAAGATATTGCCATAAAAAAAAGAAGTTTTTTAAATATTTCTGGTATCAGCCATGATACTGAATTGATAGTGAATACAATATCATAACAATGCACATGGAATGTGTGATAATGAATTTCTAGTTTATGGGTCAAAATTTTCCAAGAAAATACAACAGATGCTTACCAATGAAAATTTAACTTAACCAATGGCATAGCAGTTGTTGCTTTGTGAAATGAATTCTTTGTTGAAATATCAACATGTCTTGTTTTTGCATCGCTGTTTTAGGGTCCAGCATACAAATTACACTGATTCATAGAACAATAGGCAATAAACATTAACATTTCTTAAACATAATCTTAAAACAGATTGGTCCAAATGGATAGCGGAAAATGTGAAATGACAGTTACCTCATTTGTTTGACTTGGATTTATTGGCAGAATATTTGAAATACACAAATATATGAAAAACAGGTGCAATTGTTTCTTTCTCTGCATCAAGTCAATATGGTTGCACTAAATTGTGTCCATCAGTGTTGACTTAGTGATAAGTTGAATATATTAATGTTTTGGACTTGTGGCAACTTTTTTACTTGTTAATTAATTTAAAAAACCCTACCGTTCATCACAATTCATCTTTTCTTCCCCTGCTATCAATCACAGTCTGCAGTGTTATAACAATTATATTGCTGACGAGGTGTAACACTTTTATTTCTTCCCTCAGAATAACATTACACTTCATTTATTAGTAAGTATCTTTCTTAATGTAGGACATGTCATTGGTGATCGCCTCCATAATTCAGTGTATTTGTCTTGCATTTTGGCCACTTCTGACTTGAAGGTGCTGCATGCTGGATGCTGCTTCATCTTTTGGTTGCTGTACAGCAGAAATTCACTCCTGTATGACCAAGAAAAAACCCATTCATGTTCTGCAACAACATAGAACTAGACATCAAGTACATACACAGTGGAAAATTACCATTGTCCAACACCAGTTCTATTCATCACTGGACTTAACAAATAATGTTTACACAATTTGATAAATAAGTATATCACTGTGAATATTCATAAAGAATACTAACCTGAAACCACCTGAGACTAAGAGGTCTTTCATTGAAATATGCGAGTAAAATAAAACAATTTGACTTAAATACTTTTAATATAACTATGATAATGCATATTCAAATGTAGTTCGAAATTAAGGGGTATGTGTGTTTTACAGGTTAGGCTAGGGTTTGATATATTTATTTCAAATACTAGATTATTGTAATCAATATAATGTATTGACTTGCCTTCATGGTTATTTGATTAACTGTTGAGTGATTTGTGGCACTATAAGTTATTATGTTAAATCTCCAATATATTCTTTTTTGGTGCATCTTGATTGGAAGACCTTTATTTTAATCAATTTGGATAATTAGTTTTGGGATCAATATATTTACAGGCAGGGCTAAGACAATCTATTTGGCTATCTATCTAAGTGTCCATGACTGTCATTCATCCAAAGTAGAGGAAATCATTCATTTTCTCTCAAACATTTTTTTATTATTATCTTGTTTCTTTTTTTATGGGGGGGGGGGGGGGGGGGGGGGCGCTTTTGAGTCTTTTTTGTTAATTTCTGACATCCGCACTTCCATACAGTCATTAAATACATGTAGGTGAGAGTAAACTTATGGTGCAAACTACCAAAGTGCAAGAAATAGTACATCTGCATTCTTATATCTATTCACATTTAATTTTATAAGTAAGTTTCTTCTCAAAACTAACAAATTTCTTAATGGATTATTATTTACTTAATTAAAGGTGTGTGACAGAGTAGACATGGTAAATGTGACCAAATATAGTGCATATTAAATTTTAAGTTCCAAACTAATGACTGGGTTATTAAACCTATTTTTCTTGTACTTTTTCATCATGAAAAGTATTTACCTAGTAGTTTCGGAGGCAAAACAATAAAAATATCACACGTATCTCATTTATTTTATTCATAAAATTGGTTCAAATTTTTCACATTTACAGAGTGTTCTATTTCCATAATAAACACACCATGGCTTATGCCCCTTGCAATATGAGGTCATTGGTGCCAATTGATAAAGGAATGACGTCATAAGACTTTATTAGACGCGTTTCACGTGGTGTATGTAGGTGTGTGGTTCTATCTTCTCAGATGCGCAGCCTAGCTATTGTTTTGTTCGGTGCCGAGCTGTCCAAGATACAACGCTAAGCACAATTACTCTAAAATTATTTCGTTTTCCAAAATCGCGACTGAGAAGACAACAATGCATGGATAACATACTGTAAGATTCGCGATTATGGTTGGAAAGGTCCGTTGTATGAATTGCGCTTATTCGTTCATTTGTGTTGCGCATATTGGCTCTTGCTGAGTTGCTGTCGTCTTCTATGAGAGTTTAGATACCTGCTGGTTCTGAAACCACAGGACCATATGTAACTAATAATAACAATTAAAAAAAATCGCCAAAAAATTATAAACGAGGCCGAAGGCCGTTTTTGTTACTATTATTAGTTACATGGTCCTGTGCTGAAACTGATCGGAAGCGGATGGTGTACGATCCTTATATGGAACGGGCTAAAGGGACAGCACTCTCATCAAGACCCTGACTGGGATGTTTTTGTAAACAAACGCCGTAAAGTTGAAGTAACTCGATCAGGTAAGTTTGCTGTTTTGTTTCTTCTAACCACAGTAGTATTTAAGAAATGTATTTTAGCAGGGGTAGAGTAATATTTGTACATAGTTTCACTTGATAATCATGAATATCCGCGATGTTGTCTCGTTCACATGTTCACTTCCTCCATGGTTATGTCGATACTCCTTATCAGCTGATCGTTGCAGTATGCAGCAAACTCCTGTTGATGGAGTAAGTTGTGTTACGTAATGTTTTAGTTTTACAGCCATTCCCGTCTGGAACTAACACAAATCATCTCATTTCGGTAATTAATAAACTTTATAATAACACAGGAATTATATAAACTCATTGAAATTCTGTGTGTGTGTGTGTGTGTGTGTGTGTACCTAATCTTTAAATAATCATGTACAATCATTTTGATTCAGACTGTTGAAGCAAAAAGCCGCAAAAATACATCGGTGTGAAGTGTGAAGTACGACATCCAGTTACTTATCAATAAATGTGGCAGGTATTTTGAACTCGGATGGGAACAAATCAAAGAGATTCCGTACCCCATTTTCGTGTTACTCTAAGCATATGGTCTCCTCATCAGCTGGTAGGCCTAATGAGTAAACACTGTAATCGTGTTGAGACAACGTTTGGCGACAGATCGTATTTGTTTCTTGATATTGGCAAGTAGCATTTATCTGTAGCCTATAGGTGGTGGGAATAGTTACACCTAATACAGACAAACTCAGATTGACGACAATGCCGATACCGGCGATAGGGTCGTAACAGAGTGCGACAGGATGAATAGGCCTGCTGACGAAGCATGCGGGTCACCAGGCGTGCCAAAAATCTCTTAGAATATTACGTTTCCGCCTCTGAAAACGTAATAATGAGCACACATCAAAGTGTTATTCTTACCACGTTGTCGATCGTAGGCCTAATTGTGTAGATGTCGAGTCGGGGTCGGGTGACAAATTAGGTGATGTGGGTCTTCTCTTGTTTCCACTTGATTTTCATCGTTTCCATACCGCGAAGCTTGCTCGTTTTGGTTCAAAATCGTATGGTTTTGCGATTTCTTGAAGGATCAAGGTAACCTCTTCGGACCAGGCAAGGTATCGGATGCCATGTTGTCTCACCATAAACTGGTACTTGATATCTTTTGCGTTGTGACAAGACAGGGACCCAGTTAAATTGGCACCAGTTACGTCATAGTCTAAGGGGGATAACTCAGGCCTGTTTAGCTCGGTAAACGAAGGGCTCATAACGGCATGACATTTTCACACTTATTGTGAGCTCGCTACATTGACTGTGAGAAAAATGAGTGTATTTTTTCAAACACTGATACTAACTAATTCTAAAATTGCGTTTTTTTTAAAACAAGAAAGAAAGTGATTTTTGCGTGTACACTTCCCCTTTAAGCACTATAATTACTAAAAACATAAAAAAATACAACATACTAAAATGAATTTCACGTTTAAAAATATATTCATAGCATAGATTTTCCAAATTTCATACTCCAAATCTTGCCTAATTTAATGCCTATTCAAACTGTCAAAGGCACGGCTTCCGTGACACTGCTCATGCTGTCAGATACCAGAATACCATGGTAAGTTGAGTAAAGTGGCCTACCTATTAGTAGTTACATCTTCATAAATAATATTACATCACAGAAACATGTGACACATCCTCCATAATCATAAAACACTGTCCACTGAGACTATAAATACACGTCTGAACGATAGTACCGCACTGGTTGTCAATATTATTTTAAAGGTAAAGAAAAGAACACATACCTTTACGAACGGTCCCATGGTTGCCAGTTGTCAGTTAGGAACCGATAAACCTGACAGTAATGACAAATAACCGATCATGTTATTCTGAAATAAGTAAACTTTTACGACTGTCAACAGCGGTGACAACCAAGCGTGGTAGTTTACTTGGTACCGTCTACAGAGTTATCTTTGGCGGTCGCGCATTTCGAAAGCAGAACTAGTTCACGAGTAACGGGCTATCGCTGTGGGGAGCTTGGGATATGACACACAGACCTGGTGATGCGGACTCACCTCACCTGGTACAGCGATATGCATCGGACCATGCATAGCAGACTACACGGCTAGCTGTACAGCACACATCTTGATCCATGGTCAGGTAAGACTTTCACCTGCTGACGTGACACATGTTTGGCGGGCAACAATGCAGTTTACCGGGCGCAGCCCGAGCTCTGCCATCCGCTCAATTACCGCGTTATAGTGCCACCGCTGTCTCGTTATACCGTTACCGTGCCTCACGCTCTGGTGACTCTCGCTTCACGATCCAACACCCGTTTTCGGTCTTAGGGAAACTTACACATCTTTACAATCAAACACCCGTTCTCGGTCTTAGGGAAACTTACATATCTTTACGATCCAACACCCGTTCTCGGTCTTAGGGAGACTTACACGTCTTTACGATCCAACACCCGTTCTCGGTCTTAGGGAAACTTACACGTCTTTACGATCCAACACCCGTTTTCGGTCATTAGGGTTAGCTTGCTTTGGGTAAGGGTTAGCCATAAATTCTTACCTTTTCAAGCGTTAATCCGGTTAAATCCATTAGTCGGTCATGTTGACATAAACAATTGCGGGTGTGGTTTCAAGAAAAGATGAATGGGAGAGCGGACCGTGACGTCACACGCATGCGCAATTCATCGTTTACTGAATTACGCATGCTTGTCATTTGGGATTCTAATGACCCGTTAAACGAGCACTAATTACATGTTATAGCGCCTGTGGTCCAGTGGTAGAGCGTCGGCTGATTAACGCCTTAATTAGCAGAGCCGGTGAGCCGGCGAAGGGCGTTCGAGCGCTAATTGGATCTGAAAAAGTGCGCCCGGTAAAGTGCACTACTCTCTTGGCAACAATGCAGTTTACCAGGCGCAGCCCGAACTCTACCATCCGCTCAATTACCGCGCTATAGCGCCACCGCTGTCTCGTTATACCGTTACCGTGCCTCACGCTCTGGTGACTCTCGCTTCACGATCCAACACCCGTTTTCGGTCTTAGTGAAACTTACATATCTTTACAATCAAACACCCGTGCTCGGTCTTAGCGAAACTTACACATCTTTACAATCAAACACCCGTTCCCGGTCTTAGGGAAACTCACACGTCTTTACGATCCAACACCCGTTTTTCGGTCTTAGGGAGACTTACACGTCTTTACGATCCAACACCCGTTCTCGGTCTTAATGAAACTTACACGTCTTTACGATCCAACACCTGTTTTCGGTCATTAGGGTTAGCTTGCTTAAGGCAAGGGTTAGCCATAAATTCTTACCTTTTCAAGCGTTAATCCGGTTAAACCCATTGGTCGGTCATATTGTAATAAACAATTGCGGGTGTGGTTTCAAGAAAAGATGAATGGGAGAGCGGACCGTGACGTCACACGCATGCGCAATTCATCGTTTACTGAATTACGCATGCTTGTCAATGGGGATTCTAATGACCCGTTAAACGAGCACTGATTACATGTTATAGCGCCTGTGGTCCAGTGGTAGAGCGTCAGCTGATTAACGCATTAATTAGCAGAGCCGGTGAGTCGGCGAAGCGCGTTCGAGCGCTTATTGGATCTGAAAAAGTGCGCCCGGTAAAGTGCACTACTCCCAAAACGTTTCCTGAACTTGGCCAGGCATGGCAAGAGGAGTAGGACAGACTCCCTAAATCCTTAGTGGGAGACTCATACGAAGTATTACTGAATGAATAAATGTTTAAAATTTCTTGACAGTATTACGCACTACTGATCCTAAAACATCAGCTTTGAAATGTCCCATTTTACCAATAATAGCAGTGTTAATTTGCAAAGACAATTTTTCAAGAATTTTTTAAATGAAGGTTGTGGTTTTTTTTGTATTTATAAAGAGTCTACTACACTTGTTTTCACATGATATTTTACCCTTGGGTGGCCCAGTCCTCTGTAGCGCCGGTTTCCCCGAGTTTCCGTTTAGGTATGTCAGCACCATGTCCGAGCGGGTGGAATCATTGTCTCTTCCACCTTATAACAAAGAAATCAAGAAGCAGGAAAAATGAATGGATCCTGGTTTAAGCTGTTAAAACGTTGTTACTCTGCGAGTGAGTGAGTAAGGGTCAAAGCCGCCTTGGACGGTATAACAGTTATTTCACAGCTTGTGATGAAGTGATGCAGGTCTCGGCCGTTTACCAGTTTGGTGAAGCCCACGAATACAGGTATGGTGCCTACAAATCTGAAACATAATCGGGGCGCCTCAGGATTCGATCCCGAGTTCATAAGTTCTTTCCCATGTGTTGCGAAATAATGTCAGTACGTTTGTGACAGTGCCGTGACATTACGGCGAAAATAGCGTGATGATATCGCAAAACATTGCCGTGAAATGGAGATTAATTTAAATGACATGCTGTATGGCATTTGCTGCGCGGATGGTGTCACAATTCGTGCCACAAAAGCGGCTCAATATTCGCACACAACAGTTTACAAATACTCGGAATCAAAGATACAGAAGTAAGCTCAGTATTTCCTGCATTATATAGTAAGCATGTGCCGAATAGTATTTTAATATTTTATCAAGTATCAAGCTTCATACGGTCATTTCCTGATGGTTTGTTTTCTGCATTTATGCAACATATTCCCGGTGCCAGCGCTTGTCTTTGAGTGATGTTTTGCAACAGGAGTTAAAATCGTTATCACCTTAGTGACGGTGTAAACAAAAAACAACACACACTCAGCATTGACATCAGCTTATGGCGTTCGCTAGCGGCCATAGGATGTAGGTAAGTGCAAATCTTCGTCAATGTAGTTATCCCTGGGTTTCATGTCAACTTAATATAATGTACCAACATGTTCAGTTTTTCCATTCTTCTCCAAGCTGACACAGACATATGACACAAGGGGGTAGGATGAATATCAAAACCTTCTAACGTCTGATAATGGCCATAACAGTATCCGCACAGATGTCTCTCTCTCTCTCTCTCTCTCTCTCTCTCTCTCTATATATATATATATATATATATATATATCTATATATATATATATTGGATAAAATGCATACCATGCCCAGTTTACAGCCTCCACTATACGGGACTGTTGGCACAATGTTCCTCGGTGTATACGCAGTGTTTCCATGTTACCAAACACGCATTTTCTAATGAGTGACATGCAGCAATAATCTGCAGCTGCTTTCATCAGACCATGGATACGTCGTCACGTGATCAGATCCATATGCAGTCGAACCATGCATCAAAGCCAATCATAGTCTGTCCAGTGGCTCTGTATGACATACGTGTGTCATGCAAGCCAATAAATTGCCAATGGTAACGTGACTGTGCTGGTTTAACAATAATTGATAATTGCCACTTTTTATACCCCTTTTTGCATTATTATCAAAGTGCTTTTCCTGAAACGCGAGGGTACCATGCTTCACGTTCATGTCTGTGTTTGGGCGACAGAGTCAGTTATTGTTATGCCTTTTCTCGAGATCGATAGCCATTCAATATATTTATGTCTTGAAACTTTTATTTTTATAGACGGGTATATCACTGTTCTTTATTTTGTCATGGAATGATGAATTTATTTCAAGGTGTATATTTGTTTCACGAGAAACCAAACTATTCTAACACACATATCCACACTGAAAGTTCGTACGTTTTAATTCATTCAAGATATTAGAAAATAATATGTTTTTAAGACAGAAAAAAGCACACACATACATTACATATTTGCACACGTATTCATAGGTACTACAGTTTTTGATGTTATGAATAATAAACAATACTTGTTTTCAATCTCTATAAATATATAATGATGATTGTATTAACATTGCAATGTCTGCATCCAGTATACGTTGACAATAATCAGCTGATTGTATCAAATAAAGCTCATTCTTAATTCTATTAAACCTGCTTTTTATGTTTCCGTATTGTTAGCTTATGTTTCAAATTTCCACACAAATGAATTTAAGGTTTTTCTCTTTTTTCTCTCTCTTTACATTACTAGATATCTGCACTGTGCAATGTTATAATTTTATTTAATATTATCTTCTGAGGTTACATTTTCCAAAATGAGCGGGTGTCATTTATCTGTAAATAAGAAACATTTATTTTGCATTTTGAAGTGATTACTATTGTAGAATTTTAACATGTTCTGCTGGTATCGCGCATTCCACATAGGCTGTCAGTTTATAATTGGACCGTCCGGGTTAATAACGGGAAGATAAATTATAAAAGATCGAAAGCAAGTAATATTGATTATATGCAATTGCAATAGTAGAATATTGTGACAGCCACGTAACCATAATCTAAGGGAACTATTGTGTCTATATTTTTGTAATACAATATGGACAGTTTTATTCAGTACAAGGCCTCCGACCCACAATACATACAAAAGCATGATCATGCATGCGCATTTTATATCATATTTACAAGTGTGTGTTTCTATTTATGTGTACATGATATGGGAAGAGACTGACATTTCTTATAACATCCATGTGCTTACTCTGCATGATAGAAATAAAATTGTAAATTGTAGGATATTCACTGAAATACGTTACAGTTAACTTGATTCGTAGTTCAGAGTAGGAGTGACATTCATAGAAAATGTGCAATTCATCTTCAACAGCAGACACAACTTTAAGCTTGCATGACATTCAATATCTTTCATTATTAATTATATTTCCATTATCTGCCAGTGTCTCAACAACAAGCTTAACATTGCAACATCAAAATCTGGAATAGGATTTTCACAAATGTTGTGGAAGATCACCTATGCTTAAATACTTTTCAAGATTTGAAAGTGATGTAATCTGGTTATAGTAAAAACGCTTATGATTTGGAGGGGAGGATGCTTGCCATGACTGAAAGAGATTATCGTGTAATCTTTGCTTAAAAAGTGGATTGAAGGCTGCCTTTTTTCCCCTTTTTCCTGACTAATCCAAGCGAATCCAAATCCACATTTAAACAGAATATTTCTTACTTATGTTGCCCATTGATTACGGCCTACATCCTCTAAGGATATCAACATAAAATAACATTGTCTTGGTAGCCTATTGTTTGATAAGTGAAATATTTTGCACCAACACTTAATTACCTTTGTCGTATATACAAACTGCAAAGGCCCTCTTACACATTCCCCAAGAAGCATGTTATTACACGTTGATTTACCAACCTTTTAACTAGATTTGCAAGATTTAATATGTATAGATTCAATAGGATTGCAATATGTGGTGCTCTATATTTCAGAACCATAACATAGAATAGGTGTTTTCATACATATCCTAAATAGATATGCACAACGAATGTTACCAAGTTCCTTTGGTAATTATTTACTGAAAAAATATTGCCTTATTTTGCTTGGGATACAAGACAGGTCTGAGCTTTGCTCCAGACCAACGTAGGGGTGAATACTAGTCCGCGGTATTTATATAAAGATACTGTTTCTATTGGTTTACTATCATGAAATCATTTTCTAAACACAATAATCTTAGTTTTATTCATATTTACTTTCAAGCCAGTATGTTTTACAAAAAAACTTTCAAGTACATTAACTTGAAACTGCAGCTGTGAACAGGTGTTGGGCATTGGTGAGACATCAACATCATCAACAAGGGAGCACGAACCATTAGTAGAAGAGGTAACAGTAATACCTTGACCACCCTCTCTGTCCATAAGGGCACATAAAATTGTTTATTGTGATAATAATTATTTGTGGACTTCAAACACATCCTTGACGGGTGCCAATGTTACAGGTAAAACACTTAGATATACCTTTAGGGGCTCTAACACAAACAGATAAATCATTACACATAGACGTGATTATTTCCAAAACTTTACCCTTAAAACAAACTTCAGACAATGAGTGCAGGAGAAGATCATGTCAGAGTCAAAAGCCTTTGAATCGTTAGTGAAGGGGCAGTAAAATCTGCCTCTTTTGTTACCAATGTATTTTTTAACTATAACCTGAAATGAACAAATGTTATTAGTAGTGGAGTATTGAGCACTAAAACCAGCTTGTTGTTCATTAATAATATTATGATTCTCATACGAATTCTGTAGACGGCTGTTCAAAATAGACCTAAATACTTTAAATATTGAGTCTATGAGAGAAATACACCTGTAGACTTGACTTGACTTGACTTGAAGAGAGGACATATAGTACCCTTATCACAGCAATTGGGGAATCTGTCACTATCACAAATGCGATTAAAAGGTGAAATAAAATAAAAGTAAAGGGTATAGTCTGATGCCTAGAAGCTTTTACAAATCTGGTCCTGGTCCAATAAAGGCTTCATGTCCCACAGACTTCCACCTATGTGTTCTCTGTCCATCATGTTGTGACAGTATTATCCTTCTGCTACTTACTCATGTTATCCCCCTCATGTATGCAATTGTTGTTACTGTTAATCCTCCACCTACTATAAATATTCTGTACAATGTCCCTCATTCAGTCTTGCTTGACAACGGTATAAGGATCTAAACCAGAACACCGCCTTTACCGTATAAAAGAAGTTGTCATCCATGCATTGTGTCTACTTTGTCATCCGTCAACTTATAAGTAATGCCTATCAAACAATTCATTCGTATGGTGGCTTCAATCTTCAGAGCTCAATAGCATGTATGTAGTCATCTGTAGGATGTTTAATGTATAATTGCAGACGCATGACGAAAGAACAGTCTACATATTCAGACATGTTGATGTGTCATGTACTACTTATCATGCTGGGTGAGTATATCTATTTAAAAATATATTTGTTATAATGTGAGTACTTTACTTAACTTAATATGTGCATGAAAGGAATGTTTACAGGTTCTTTGCTTGAAAATAAACTACAATTACTCTTGAATTTTATAAATAGAATATAGACAGTCATTGTTTGGGTGATTATTTGAACTATGTTTTTGAAGATATAGTCAGTAAGAAAATATCCTTGCTTATATATTTCCTTTTATTACATTGTGTATGTTGCAGTATGGAATGTCAGAGGTGACCCAATATGTCCATGGGGCACATATGGAGACTCATGTGACAGAAACTGTTCTGAACACTGTAGCGTATTTCCTGGTCGGAACATTGTTCACTGTGACAGGGCCAGTGGACGTTGTTCCGAAGGATGTATTCCAGGCTGGTATGATGCTACATGCAATAAAGAATGCAGCAAGAACTGTATCAACAACATCTGCAATCACGGAGATGGAGCGTGCACAGCAGGATGTAAAGACGGCAAAACAGGAACCTTCTGTGAAGGTAAAACAAAGATCCAATTTAACTTATCATATAATATATATGTACACATTCTCAGAATTAACCTCTCGCTGTAAATAAGACCCGCCATTTTTCCGACAACATCAAATATTCGGATTTTCCTAAAAAGCAGCAAATAAACTAATGTCCAAAAGAAACGATACCATCTATTTTGAAAAATATAAATTATAAGTGATTTATTTTACGATATAAGTTGCCGAAGCACGTAATGCACGTGCAGATCAACTATATAAAACTGCTGACCCGACACGTAAGGAAAACAACAGCAAAAAGCCGACCAAAGAAATGACACATTAATCTGCGATAGAGAGCCGTTGGAATGGCCAAAAAGGGAGAGACGCACTCTGTCATTGTCGTGCGAAATACGCATAAAGTCAGAAAGCACGCGTAAAGACACCGCCACCGTCATTGCCAGAACGTTGGGATGCGCCAGTATAACCGTTACCAGGTTGATGCAACGGTGACGTGAGACACGCCAGGCAACATGCTGAGAAACGGGTGACCACGCCTATTCAAGACCGCTACATCCGGACAATCCTCCTTTGAAACCGCTTCGTCACGGCGACGTTAACGGCAGCGACGGAACTGCAACACAGGATCTGTCGACAAACCGTGTACAGGAGATTACGAGCCTATTGTATCCGTGCACATCGACCCGACCGAGGAATGTTGTTGACATGACAACATCACCACCTAGAGGCTGCGGTGACTTGAAAACGAAGCTCGTGGTTATTCATGGTATTCCAGCAGGACAATGCGACGCTGCATACGGCATGGTTGACACAGAAGTTATAACCGCCACAATTTGGGATATTTCCTGGCATGACAAACTAATAGTCTGTGTATAATTTCAGAGGAACAACTTAACACAAAGGCGAAGGAGAGCACAGCAGACCTGTCCTGGATGAGTATCGCTGTTGCAGCTACAGTTCCTATAATCATCATCATAATGATCTGTGCGGTGGTTGTATAGTAAGCATGCACCTACAAACAAATCGTTCTGTCTCCAGTGTGTTTGATGTTCTCCCTACGATGTCGCATTACATGTACACAAGCATATCAAATGAACAATACTATCCAAAACGCTTCCGAGCAACACCTTAGTGTTGAATAGTTTATGGCTGTGTGTACATCCATTTAATCAATGTCACAAACCATGCAGTAGCAACAATACGTAGAAGTACAACTGCAACATGCGTGGCATTTCTTTTGTCTCTATAAATTCATACTTTAGACAATCGTGAGACTTCAGACGAAAACAAGTTGATATTTACGAAGATAAAAACGTTATGGTGAGATTTATCGCATACTCATTGAACATCATAGCTGATGTTTGTCGATGTGTCTGGAGATAATAAACTTAAATTACCCATGTGTGAAATATTCTTGTGCATTGAACTACCAATCATGTTCCTTCTTTATTTGCCTACAGCAAAGCTGTTTGTTAGTGCACTTTACCTACACTGTGAAAATGCACCCTTTACATTTAATGTGGTGTAGTCCAAAAGTATTTTGTATATTATTATCACTTTACTTTCTGTGACATTTTTGGATACACGTTGTTGTTTATATATTTCCTTGCAACACCAAGTAGAACCTAGTTGTGTGGTCATTGTCAAGCTATGTATAGGTTAGTCCACGAGGGCCTAGTGTCTAATCGTTGAAATGGTTAATAAAACCACGAGGAGCGCGTTCTAAAATTTTCTATCATGAAGATAAATAATAGGGAAAAAGAGAAATTCCGTCATTACCAAGTGGTGTTAAACTAGCAATTCACTTAGTTAGACTAATGCTAACTAAACCTAAAGAACAGCTAGTCAGCAAGCCAGATATGGGAAGTTAGAACAAGAATAAGAGGAACTCCAAGATTAGTAAGATGTTAAAACATTTAGTAAATATTGTGTTTTGATACGTTAAGAGCTTTGACACAGAAATAGATGTGTTTATAGTCAAGCTAGTTTTAGCTATATCCAAAGAGCAGCTAGTGAGCAAACCAGTTAGGTAAAAGATTGAAACAAGAATTGCGAGAAGTGTCAAATATATATTTGTCATCAGGTTTTTTTTATAATGTTAATATACATACAGCAATCTAAAATCGTTTTTTACAAATTATGTATATCTTTTATTTAATTATTTGCTTCTTTCTTTTTTTCAGTTGGCACCAGAAATGTAAGTGTTACATACTTTGAATTAATTTACTAACACCTTTTACTTCTCAAACTACATAATTAATAATTGAGCCAATCCAAAGGCTGGAAGGTGATAATATCTCCCTCAGAAAAAAAAAATCATCACCCTATGCACTCCAGTTGGAGAAATAGTATATTATGATGATATTATTAGTGTGATTGGCTGAACTTTTCATATCTTTCACAGAGGAAAGTTATCACATTCCAGCAACGTGATTGGTTCACTGATATATTATGTAATTTGAGAGCTATAGATTTACTACTGTTCATTCATTCATTCGCAAATCGACAACAGACAACCGACTTCCTGACCACTTTCAGGGTTGAATTTAATATCATAAAACAAATGGTATTTAAATTGACATTTGAACATGGATTAAGTCTGGTGCTAAGAATATATGTTAATCCCAAACATTCACTTGCGTCCATGTTTTAAATTTATAAACATCGCCTGGGCAATGCCGGCAGATTGTAGACACACTGTCAAAGGTCGCTTCGTGAGTTCTATATAGATGTCTGAGTAGATGATATTTTGAATGACGAGAAGTCAAGCCCGTTACATTAAAAAGCCGTTAAATTAGACCTGGTCCGGTCAAACAATGTGCACACTGCACTAGTCCAACATGTATATGGACAAATCATTGAACAATTCTGGTTACTGTCACAACGGTATGTGCTCAGTAAATATCTAACCCACCCGTGAAGATCCGGGTCGGAACAGATCTTCAGCGACCTAGCTTTCCGTTAATTGTGACTGTGCTTGTCGTAAGAAGCGACTAACAGGATCGGGTGGTCAGACTTGCTGACTAGACTGATACATGTCATTGTATGATAATTGCGTAGATTAGAAAAATAAATCTAATAAGCTGATACGTATGTCACAAGTTGGATTTACGTATCTACTGGTTCGAAACACTAAATCCAGATTTTAAAAATCAAACACAAATCTCGACCACAGAGGTGCACTCTGTGACAGGTGAGTCACTCATCGCGAGTATTGAAGCATTGCGCGAAAGGAGTAAGGTAATTGCGTTATTGTTGTATCACTTCATCAGTTGCCAATACTAGCCTGAATATATGCATCCTGAACATGATGAATTAATTGACACATGCCAATTCAAATTTGTTAATGACAATGAACAATCCAAGTGTTGTATCCACTTTGACAAATATCTGGTTCATACGCGTTTGCTGCGGTTAATGTAAAATGGTTAGATGACAGGTCTGAGTGTCCAACTGTCCAACAGTGCATTTAATCTGACATGATAGCATGCAACATGTACCTTTCACACAAAATGAATTCAATCATTACAACATTATGATGTATTCTGTTTTCTCAGATTGGAAAAGACAAAGATTTATGGCAGGTAAGAGTATAATTTACTGACAGATTGATAACGGCCTTGTTAAATGAAAGGGTAGATGATTTCGCTCCTACCTTTTTACTTTTCAAAAGTACCATTCGTCAAGAGCATTCATGCTTGTGGAGAATGCAATTCTAAACTAGCTGTTAGTTTCATGGAGACATGTGCTGTGTCGTATGCGAAATCCAAACCATTATGAAGTGTTAGTATTGTGTATTTACATGTAAATATAGACCCGTGAAGATCCGGGGAAAAATAGGTCTTCAGCAACCCAGGCTTGCCGTGAAAGGTGACTAGTCTTGTCGTAAGAGGCGTCTAACGGGATCATGTGGTCAGGCTCGCTGACTTGGTTGATGCATGTCACTGTATCCCGATTGCATGGATCGATGATCATGACGTTAATCACATACAGTTTTGTTATTTAGTGTTTAGTTTAACGGTTGAGTTAATATCTAGATGCATAGCAACCGCATCAAAGAACTACCAGTGATGAGTGAGTACTGTTTTACACAGCTGTAAGCAGTATTTCAGCAATATCACGACAGGGAATAACAGAAATAAAGCGATAGCGACTTTTCATCTTGAATCAGATTTAACTGCATGTCGTACTTTTCTCAACAGTGAAAACATGGAATACCCAGGACCTCGAAGGTGAGATAAATAGCAGAAACACAGCTTCATGATGACTTCTTTATTAAAGGCTCAACGGGAAAAAATAGTAGTGTAAAAAAATGATGGTGTCATAATATGGTCACAAGGGACATTGGTGTCGTGTAAAGCACCACAATTCACTATGCAGTTTTATTCCTTAGTCAAGACAGTATCCTCTGATCTTAAGTTCACATCACATATTTGGCCTTATTACATTGTTGTATTGCCAGTAAATTTGATATGCCACGTGGTAACTGACATATTGTATAACGTTAATTCCTAAATGATACTTTCTTTTGTACTATGGATTTATATCACATGAGCTGTTTAACCTACAATTGCATTCCATGTGATTAAAGGTACACATTATCCTTATGTCTACACAGGGTTACTCAACACTCCAGTTCCTAACGAACCACTCCATAAGGCCAGTGCTGAGGGGGATCTGGACCGCGTGAAACAGATCATGAGTTGTGGTTTAAAAAATGTCAACACCCGAGGGTTGTACGGATTGACACCGCTGATGTTGGCAGCACAGAACGGACACTATGATGTCTTTGAATATCTTCACACAGAAGGAGCTGATATGACATTAACGGATCGTGATGGGGACCACATTCTTAGCATGGCCTGTGTGGGGGGCAATATAGACATAGTGAAGTATGTTGTCTTAAAGGAACCTTTCCTTAATATTAACAGAGGGAGAACAGATGGACGAACGGCGTTGATGTGGGCAGCACGACATGGAAATAAGACCATGTTTGACTATCTTCTGGAAAAAGGAGCTAACTGTTCATCTGAGGATATCGAAGGCGATAACGTCCTTCATTATGCCTGCTATGGAGGACACATTGGAATCGTTATGGATGTCATCGCCAATACCACAATTGATATCAACAGTAGTGACGTATATGGAAGGACAGCAATGATGGTGGCAGCTGAGCACGGCCATATAGAGGTATTTGACTTTCTTGTTAGGAAAGGGTGTGACATATCACACAAAGATAAGGAAGGTAGCAACATACTCCATGTAACATGCCGTGGAGGACATGTGAAGATGGCTGAGCATGTCCTCTCACGGGGAGATTTTGACATCAACTGCAAAGGGCAGTGTGGTCGCACACCACTGATTTTGGCAGCATTCTATGGACACAGAGATGTATGCGACCTAATTTATGGAAAGGAAGCTGATGTATCACAAGTTGATAACAAGGGAAACAACATCCTACATGTGGCTTGCATGGGAGGACACCTTGGCATGGTGCAGTATATCCTGTCGCAGGACATAGCAGACATCAACAGTCACGGACAAGATGGGCGGACGCCACTGATGTTGGCCACACAGTGGGAACAAAGAGCAGTGTTTAAATTACTTATGCATGAAGGAGCTGATCTATCACAAGTGGATAAAAAAGGAAACAACGTTCTTCATCTGGCCAGTAAAATAGGAAGTATGGAGATTGTCCAACATGTTCTGAGAGAGAATACTCTTGACATCAACGCAGGAAACGGTCGTGGTGAAACAGCAGCCATGATTGCAAAGCGTGAAGATCACATGAAATTGTATGAGCTACTAGTGTCAAAAGGAGCTAATGCAGTCACCAATCCTCGCTTGCAAAAACAAAAACTGAGGTGTTAAACCTGTGCGAGGGTTGGGGTGTGAACTAACAGAGGAACGCGGATATGGTTAAGATATGCACATAGATCACGATCGACATGTGACGATGTATTCGGGTAGATCACATGTTTGAAGGTGAGGTGTTTTTAACTTATGATATTATTTATTTTACTTTGTAGATATATAATTGTAGATAAGGAGACTTATTTTGGAATGAACTGTCTCTTCCCGTTAAGCTAACGAAATGGTGTAAAATGGTGACTTTTGGTCTGATGATGTTTACATTAAGAACTTTGGTAAGACAAACGATATCTCGTCAGAAACTCAAAAACGTTCAGTGTAGAACGAGTTCAGGTACGTTAAAGTGTACACACAACCTGAAAATGGTGATTATACACAAAACGTTAAGTTGGATGAAAAGCTGTCAGTACTTGCAAATAAGGTTGGCAATGTTTTAGTTTCAACAGTAGGCTGTAAGTGTTACTGTCCAATGTCTAAGGATAACGCGACATTTCATACCAACTTATTTTACATGTATCAGTACTATGTGGTCTGTGACGATCTTAAAACATTTCTCGAAATAAAGTCCAGATAGACACGTATCAGCGTCACAGTGTCTTTGAGTCAGTCTTTGCGCGTGCCTGGACTCAGGTATCCTGGCTGCTTCAAAATCGGTGATTACTGACCTGGAGTTGGCCGAAGCATCACAAGACAACACAGACTCAGCATATCTTGTTTTCGGCAATGTTATCAAAGAAAGATGCATTAGAAGCTTCCGTCTAAACATACAAAGCTGGGACACGGAAATCAGAATATGAAAAGAAGAACGAGGAAGCCAAGGTGGTCACAATGTTTATAAATACAATGGAATGAGTCTGCCTTTCTATGGCTTAGTGCTGTTAACAATCGACGCCTGTGAGATACACACTTCGATGACAGATTTTTGACAGGAATGCGCAGAAAGCGAAAGGAAAGCACCGTCGAAAAATACCAACCGAAATTGAAAGTTCAGAACATTGAGACCCAAACTATTGTTTGAAATCTATATGGAAAATTCATACTTGCGAATAAGACATTAATATTTTCCGATAGAAATAATAATAGATGACGGGTCAGAATCGGTTATAAAACAGAGTGGTTCCAGGTAAAAAGCAGTGTTAAACGGATATTTATTATATCCCATGGTGTTGAATTTAGAACTGATGTTGAAGGGCCTTAATATCAGCATCCAGCTTGACAATGGGCTATTGGGTATGTTGTAACATGCCAAAGACATTGTGCTGGTGACTTGCAAGACCTACTCAACTACCTAGGTACATGGTGTAAAATAAATAATATAAGTATCAATGCTGACAAATCCAAGGCTCTGCACTTCTGCAACCCGTCTGTGCTGAGATCTCAAAGTACTTGAAAAGCCGGTAATCTACCTATTGAAACGGTTAACAGATATACTTACCTGGCTTTTCTTCTGGCTCAAACAGCAAGTAGAGCACGAGATCATGTAATTATCAGGTGTAAAGGGATAGGAGGTGTTGAATACAATGTGTTCACAAAACTGTATCATAGTCTGGTTTTACTATGATATATAGAGCAGCAGTTTTGGGTCAAACAGAGTGCTCGTCCATCAGTGCAGTTCAGAATTGGACAGGCCGATTTATTTTTGGGAGTTGGAAGATATACAACCACCGATGCAGTACTTTGAGGCTTGGGTTGGCTCCCAGCAGGCATAGATCAGAGCCTAGCCCTGTTACGACAATGGTGCATATTCAAGAACATGGGTGATCAGAGACTAAATAAGAACATTTGCTGGTGGGATGTCAACCTTTCATCTCCAAAATGCAAAAACAGGAATTTTAGAGTTCATCGTTTATTCTCTGAGAACAAAGGTGTTAATCTATGTTCACAAGATCATGTTCCACTATCAGCAATATGTTACCGCAGTGTCTTATCTAAGTTCCGGTATATCGTAGCACCAATAAGACTTGAAAGAGAACATATTTCTTTGGAGAAACGTGTGTGCACCCTGAGTATGAACTCCAGCATTCAAGGCGAGATGCATGTATTCATACATATATGCTGTATCAATATGCCATCTATCAATATGTTCATTCGTCGTCAGATATTGACAAGCTCTCACCATATTTAATCAATATTCACATATGTTTAAATGTACAGTATAAAATAATATTCACATTTTATGTGATGTATACACCCTTTGAGCCAATGTCATCTTTCTAAATTTTTATTGCTCTATTTTCAAATTCCAATTATTGGAAATTGAACCGTTATTAATTATTGGTATTATCAACCAAGCCATTGGATATCTCAAAATGAGCCTTATGATGAGATGATGTTCATATTCCGCATAACATTTTGATTTTGAAAAAATGGAAATATGTTATCCTACCCCCCATTTTGTCAAAATGGGCCATTTGTTTATTCCCATTGTTAATGTAATTAAAAATAGATATATAACACATCCATATCACCGTTTGAACATACCTTTTCCATATAGGATATTATAAGATATAAGCAATTAGTTAAACCTTCCGAGGAGGTACATTCGAAGGTCAATGTCACTAGTATAAAAAATGCTGCAAATGCACATACAACTATCATTACTGATTTGGTGTATGCTTGGTAAAGCCCTATAGAATATGCAAAGAATATGCAAAGAAACAAATAATGTGCACAACAAGACCATAATAACTGCTCCCCCTCAAAATAGATAAGCAGATGATACAGTGGAATCAATCTCAAGGAGACACATAAAGGTATAAGGTCAGTGACAGTCAATACAAATATCATGCACCGATTCCAGACCCGAGGACAGTGTGGTCAGTGACACTCAGTGACAGTCAATACATAGATCATGTGCCGACACTAGACTCGAGGACAGTGTGGTCAGTGACACTCAGTGACGGTCAATACATAGATCATGTGCCGACACTAGACTCGAGGACAGTGTGGTCAGTGACACTCAGTGACAGTCAATACATAGATCACGTACCGACACTAGACTCGAGGACAGTGTGGTCAGTGACGGTCAGTGACAGTCAATACATAGATCATGTGCCGACACTAGACTCGAGGACAGTGTGGTCAGTGACGGTCAGTGACAGTCAATACATAGATCATGTGCCGACACTAGACTCGAGGACAGTGTGGTCAGTGACGGTCAGTGACAGTCAATACATAGATCATGTGCCGACACTAGACTCGAGGACAGTGTGGTCAGTGACGGTCAGTGACAGTCAATACATAGATCATGTGCCGACACTAGACTCGAGGACAGTGTGGTCAGTGACGGTCAGTGACAGTCAATACATAGATCATGTTCCGACACTAGACTCGAGGACAGTGTGGTCAGTGACGGTCAGTGACAGTCAATACATAGATCATGTGCCGACACTAGACTCGAGGACAGTGTGGTCAGTGACGGTCAGTGACAGTCAATACATAGATCATGTGCCGACACTAGACTCGAGGACAGTGTGGTCAGTGACGGTCAGTGACAGTCAATACATAGATCATGTGCCGACACTAGACTCGAGGACAGTGTGATTAGTGACATTCAGTGACAGTCAATACATAGATCATGTGCCGACACTAGACTCGAGGACAGTGTGGTCAGTGACGGTCAGTGACAGTCAATACATAGATCATGTGCCGACACTAGACTCGAGGACAGTGTGGTCAGTGACGGTCAGTGACAGTCAATACATAGATCACGTGCCGACTCGAGACTCGAGGACAGTGTGATTAGTGACAGTCAGTGACAGTCAGTACATAGATCACGTGCCGACTCGAGACTCGAGGACAATGTGGTCAGTGACACTCAGTGACTGTCAATACATAGATCATGTGCCGACACCAGACTCGAGGACAGTGTGGTCAGTGACACTCAGTGACTGTCATTACATAGATCATGTGCTGACACCAGACTCGAGGACAGTGTGGTCAGTGACACTCAGTGACTGTCATTACATAGATCATGTGCCGACACTAGACTCGAGGACAGTGTGGTCAGTGACACTCAGTGACTGTCATTACATAGATCATGTGCCGACACTAGACGCGAGGACATTGTGGTCAGTGACACTCAGTGACAGTCAATACACAGATCACTTAGTGGCAGTCAATGCACAACTGATGAAAAGCTGATTGGTAATTGTATCTTGGTGGAAACTGACCTGTCCTTTGATTTTGAAATTGCTGTCAGTCATTGACAATGTCTCCTGGACACACACGAAGGCCTGAATCCTTTGACATGATTTGCTTAAAATTACTAACATGACACCACTACAAATCTATATAATTTTCTTTGCATTAAATATAAAAAAGTGAACGCAAGAGAAACATTTTCCATTTGGCGTAAGAGGAAAATGAGCGGTTAAAAATATGCGAATGGATCACTGAAAATCAGTGATGACACCAGGTGTTCGCGAAAAGAGGAAGTATGCCCCACCCTGACAGAAACACCTGCCGCACACACAATCTGCTGTAAAAAGTAAGTGTTTGTTGCCTGACGCCACACAGCAGTACTCCTAGAACAAGATAGTCATAGGAATTGCCTCAATTAGGAGTTTGGACGAAAGGTGAGGTATCTTTTTGGGACAAGGGGAGGTGAAATGTGCATGAAGGAGTAGTCTCCCTTTCACCGTCTCCGGTGAGATATGTTACACCTCCCACACTGTGACATTGTTGATATGACGGATCTTACTGTGACCCTCGTAGCCCGCACCCCGCATGTGTTGTCAATACATCATTAACGACTAGTGCAACGTACCTGAGCCCAGAGGAGTAGTCTCCCTTGGATCGTCCACGGAGAGCACCACTACAACTCCCACACTGTGACAATATCGTTATGCCTGAACTGACCGTTAACTGTATCCAGCATGTCATCTCGTCGAAGGTCAGGCTCATACGATATAAATAGATTATGGACAAACTCCAGAATGCCCATATCAAGGAAAAACTTCGGGCAGAGTACAAAAGTCATATACATACATATATCGTCACATTAAACACATGCAGTATCATCACGTTAGTCATATTTCACCCCAAATAAGTGCAGTTACATCCTGATCCTGTTAGGATCTACCTGCCAGTATTGCCTGTGTATACTGAATCACAGCCCCGGGTCAGATAGCACCATGCACGGTGAACAGTCACCGCTTGTGCAGTCATACCAACTTTGTAGTAGTGTGTGCAAGAGTTAATGCTTGGCATACGTGGTACAAGGGAGGATCAGGTTCAGGTACACGACACTGGCAGCTAATTTACGTAGCCCATGTGAGGGTAATCAGAGACTGCATCGGGTACGTTAGGGAGAATACACATTCATTTGTAATTTCAGGTCTGCTACTGTTGGAACTGAGGGTTCATACAAAGGCGCCTGACAAGTGTTGGCAGGGGGCTCACCAGGTTCACGGCGCATATATAATTTAAGTCGCTGTAGCTAATCATGAAAGCTTTGTTCTGTCAGATGTGCATACACTGGCATGGCTTTGTCCCAATGCTGCTTCAACAATTTGACATTTACTCGTTGTATTTCTGGCCACCCTGCTGCTTTCACTCACTCAAGAAGTGTGAACTTCACTGGTTGCGT